TTTTAAACCTTAATAAAAAATCGATACAGGGCTTTAGAATATCGATACAGTATCGGGGAAATGAAATATCGCGATATTTCAGTGTATCGATATTTTCTTACACCCCTAACGAATAGTCTCTGACTCAATCTGCTAAGCATCTTCTGGTAAAAATGTCAATCCATCCAATGTTCTCTTATGGTGATGTCATCTACAGAACTGCTTCCAAAACTGTCCTCCACAGACTGGATACCCTTTACCATACAGCCATTAGATTTGTCACCAGTGCTCCCTTCAGCACTATCATTGCACTCTACAGGTGCTGGTCATAAAATTAAGATATCATGAAAAAGTTGATTTCAGTAATTCCATTCTAAAAGTGGAACTTGTATTAATGTTCATTCATTACACACAGACTGATATATTTCAAATGTCATTTTAATTTTGATGAATATTATTGCTAACTAATGAAAATCCCAAATTCAGCATCTCAGAAAATTAGAATGTGAAAAGTTCAATACTGAAGACACCTGGTGCCACAATCTAATCATTAATTAACTCAAAACACCTGCAAAGGCCTTTAAATGGTCTAGTCTTAAAAAGTCTAGTTCTTACTTCTTTTGTWTCATTTGCRTCGYTTAAAAATGCAGTGAGAGCATCGCTTGATGGAAGTGACACATGCTTTTAGCATTTTCTGCTTCAGTCTCTGTTGTCAYTCATTTCGTTCATGATCTTGTCTCAGTTCTTAGACTGTTAACCATGCTCGCATTGTATTACATGATGTTAGCTTGTCGGCGGTTTATATGTTGCCCATCTTGTGCTCTCCTGTTCCTGTGCCTCGTGGCCAGGTTGTCAGTGAAAATGAAAATGTGTTCTCAACTGACTGACATGGTTAAATAAAGGTAAAAATAAATAAATAAAAGATAAAAGCCTCCGTTACAATTAACCTGAAATGGCTCATCCAGCACATGAATTTTTCAGGTTAATTCTGATTTTTTTCCCCCATGGAAAAAGATCCCAGGTGTGGGAGTCTCTACCTCCAAGTAAGGCTCAATGTTGGAGTTTTTACATCCTAATGAGAGCAGATTGGTAGATTTTGGTATCACTTCAGCACTGCAACACTACTGCCATGTTAAAATGGCATTTGAATTAAAAAAAAAATCCTACGAGCTGTGAGAGATCATCGTGTGGGTTCAGATGAAATGTACTCATTGAAATGTCATGAAGACTGGTCAAAAACAACAAAAAGTCTGACAATTTTCACATATCATACATATTTACCCTCAGGTTTGTTGAGTAAAGTATGCAGCTAAAAGTGCTTTGTTTACATTGAGTGCATACCTGCATTTCTGAATTGCATGTCGATATATCTACAAAACTACTGGAGTAAAYCTTTTCAAACTACACCTTTTGATATAGATCAAGATAAAGGAAATTTGTAACACTTCAGATTATGCACTTTAGAAAAATGGGGATAAATAGGGATTTTAACCCAGTTGTGTCTTGTCAAGTTTCGACAAGATAAAAATTCTCGTGATCTGCTGTAGCATAACTAACTAACTAACTAACTAACTAACTAACTAACTAACTAACTAACTAACTAACTAACTAACTAACTAACTAGCAGCATTCGTCTTAGGTCCAGTGATTTTAACAACAAAAGCCAGCCTCATGAGTTTTCCCTAAATGACTTAGAAAGCTGCAAATAATTAGGTTTAGTTCACGTTAGCTAGCTACTAAACAAAACATTTAGCTAACAGTTGATTAAAATGCTTAAAAATCTACTGATCATCTTCCAACCATTAGCGCCGAACTAAATAGCTGACAAAGCTTGTTTTTACATTAAACATTTAATAAAAAAAAATGATAAGAATCCGCTAAAAACCCGACGACCAGTAAATGTGTTAGCTAAGTTATCTGAAGCTAATGCGTCTCTTTAAACTCACCCTTTTTCTTTGCACTGACGGTTTCCCGTTTCCAGTTACTTGTTTGTGGTTATCATTCAGCAATTTTCACTGTTTTTGTCCGTCCTAAGAAATAAAACCTTAAACATTCACCAGACAAAGATTCAAGAAAGCCAGTCGGACGAAGCTAGCTGCAGCATCGCAGACAGTGGAGCAGCAGCGACCCGCGAGTCACAACACCGCACAGAGCCTTAAAGGGGAGGGGACGTATTTTTTACTGGGTCCAACTCTGCAGAGAGCCTTAAAGGGGAGGGGATGTATTTTTACTGGGCCCAACACTGCAGAGAGCCTTAAAGGGGAGGGGACGTATTTTTACTGGGTCCAACACTGCAGAGAGCCTTAAAGGGGAGGGGATGTATTTTTACTGGGCCCAACWCTGCAGAGAGCCTTAAAGGGGAGTGGATGTATTTTTACTGGGTCGACTTAAAAGCAACAGATTTACAGTACTTCTGGAATGTGAAATGCGGATCAACACTAAACTATTCAATATTCAATAGATGAGACATTGCTTTTGCATTTTCTTTTTATTCTGGATTTTAGGACATTATTTAAAAAAAAACTGAAAACGGCTTGCTTCACAACTCCCTCATCAAACCCCTTAAAGTCAATGAGATCTCATCTTAGACTTTTATTTATCAAGATGTTCAGCTCATTTGAATGGAAGCGCATTCCCGCCACCCTGATAAAAAATAAATAAAACTTGTATCTCATAATTATGACTTAGCTATCTCATTACTATGAGATACTATCTCATAATTATGACTTCGCTATCTCATAATTATGAGATACAATCTCATAATTATGACTTAGCTATCTCATTACTATGAGATA